TGCACCTACTTCATGACTCAGAGAGAAGGGAAAAAGGCCTGTGCTTCTGATGGAAGAAGGGTTTGGGGTTATTTTTCTCCTGGGCATGGGTTGGGTACAAGTGGAATGAGGTGCTTTGGTGTCTTGCACCATAAACTGTGCTGTTTTAGGCAAGGTCCTGGGGAATTGGAGGCTGAACCAGAAGCAGCAAAGCACCCCATGCACTCTTCCCCATGGCCGGAGTCATCAAAAGTGAGACAGCACGACACGAGATGCTGCAAGGAGTTACAGGATTTCCAAGTCTGTGGCCAGTTCCCCTGGTTCTAAGAAGGTAATCACCTCTGCTACAACAGCGGTGAATCCCCAACCTCCTGATGACTCCAGAGCCCAGTTCACACTTAATTTCAGCTCATTTCCCCTGTAATTCTGCCCCCCGTTTATCCTGCAGAGGCCTGAACAGCACCGAGCCTTTCAGGTGAGCTGCCAAAACAACGTGATGCAACACCGCCCGCTCTGCTACCGCTGGCTCCTGCAGCGCTGCGCCTCCGCTCCCTCGCGAGAAGGTGATTTACCGAGGAGCTCCCTGGGAAGAGGCTTAAGGACAGGATGTGCAACGCAGCTGTAAGAATTGCATCAACTGCCATGCCATACACTCCCCTAGTATAAGGAGTTTTGCCTTGAGTTGCGTGCTCTGCCCTGTGACAGTCCTGTTATGTGAAGTCATGTCTGCTGAACAACACGGGCACTGTACCATCGCTTAGCTCCATTATGGAAATGTTATTGTTTTTATTACTGGCTGTTAAAATTATCACCTTCTTACGAAAGACGTTCCCTTCTCACACCGATATCCGTGACCACACTGGTGATATTGCTTCTGCTCACCCTTTCAAGCAAACACCATGGAAGTGTGAGCTGGCGCCAGCCATCGCCTGCGTTCACGGAGCTCCAGCCCCTGGCCAGATGTTGCCCCAAACTCCACTCATAGGATTCCACCCCCAAGGCTTCTCAGTCCGAAACCTGACTGCGTCAACCAACCTGAAGTTAGTGAGGGAACCAACGCCAGCATTTATTTGTTCTCTTCAGCGCTGTTGTATGGTTCTAGTTAGGCAACAGCAACTGCGGTTTGTCAGCAAGGTGAAAAGCCCTTCGCAGCCCCACCACCCATTGCTCGGGAAAGCTCCTGGTAACCAGGGATCGCTCTGGTGTGGCTCAAAAAGAAAGCAAAACAAACCCTGCCTAAAGAGCACTGAGTGCTCCTGCAGCCCATTGGTATAGATCTGATGTCACGGTCAGTTAAAATAACTTCAGAAGCATCAGTTGAAAGACATTATATAGGTGTCAGATGCTATTTGCTCGCCGGGATGTAACAAAAGGCTTTTAGTTTCACTTTACCGATGGGGAAAGTGGAAGCTGAGTAATTCAGCAGGGCTCAGCAAGCCAAAGCTGGGTACAGAGCACGGTTGTCCTGAATCAGTGCCCTTCAGACCACGGATGTTTCCCAACAGACCACAAACAACGGTGGCAGGGGCAGAAAAGGAGCAGAATGGAAGGGGTTTATTTCCAGCGTCCCTCCTTTCCTGCAGCAAGGCAGGCGGTGACAAAGCCACTGTCGCTGCAGGCCATTCCCACACCAGCTGCCTCCCCGCAGGAGCCACGCGCTGGAGCAGAAAGGGGCTCCCAAAGTCACAGGGACACACAGCGCAGGATGCAATGCCACGTTTCCACCCAGGATGAGCGCCCTGTGCAGAAGCGGTGCTGGGCTCGTCTGAAAAGAGAAGCAGG